ATGGAAGGAAAAGCTACCAGCACCCACACAGCTGCTCCAGGGACAATCCAGACAGAGGGGGTTAAAAGTTCATTTGCAGAAGCAGAACAAAACCTTTAGCTAATTTACACATTACAGGAAGCCAAGCCCAAAAAACCCAGCGTACACCTACAGGGCTTTTTGTGGTGGTTTATAATTCTGCAGAATCTTGTATTAAAAACAAAAGCAGAGGAGTGAGAGGGAGGCAGAGCTGGCAAGGGCAGGCACAGAGTCCTGCAGGGCTGTCTCGCCTCTGCGGAAGCATCACTGGCTCCTCCACCAAAACACCTGAGGGAGAGGAGAGCAAAGGGGAAACCAAAGGTGCTGCTGTTCCCCACAAGGCTCTGATAGCTCCAGAGCACAGATCATAGGATCATGGAACAACAGAATGGGTTGGGTTGGAAGGGACCTTAAAGCCCAACTCATGCCAACCAGGGAAAAAGGAAAAGGGGTGAAAGAGCACAGTATGAACCTGACCCAGGACAGGCAAGTCCCAGGCAGGATTCTCCCTGTCCTGCAAGGCAGCATGTGCCTGCAGGGAGTCTCCTTCCACATCACCTCCCTTTTACTACCCACAGCAGCACCCAGATCCTTTGGGTCACTTGAACTCCAGGGCTTTGCCTGGATCCAGCACTGCCATGACCCAAAAGGAGCAGAAACAGGCACTGGGCATAAAAATGGCATTCCCAAAGGCAGCAAGGAGGACCACTGCCTGGCCCAGCCACAGCAGCTCAGACAGCTCCCCGTTTGCTCCTGGCAGCCAAACCAGGCGAGCAGCACACGAGAGCGGGGCACCTCAGAGGCCTCAGTGGCTAGTGGAAATTTCCAGAATGTCCTGGACAAGAATGACTTACTGGAAGCAATACATAAATCAAGCAAATGAATAGTTACCAGACAGCAGCATAAACAGCTGCCACGGGGATGAAATCAGACCTGCTGTGCCAAGAGGCGTCAGCCTCCTTGCCGGCTGCACCTTCGGGGGAAACCGGCAAAACAAGGCAAGGAAAAGCACATTCCTGGGGGAGCTGCCACCCCTGGCCCTGCACAGGTGCCCCGTGGGGTCCTGGAGCTGCTGGGCACAGCGTGGTGAGCTCCAGAGCAGCTCCCGCAGGGTTCCGCGGCCCCGGGCGCGGCGCGGAGCTGCCCCACGCCGAGCACAACGAGCCCTGGCTGGATTTTTAGGCAGAAGACCTGGAGGAATTTTTTCTTCTCATTTGCCAGCAGTCCCTGGTTGAGCAGCGAGCCCTCTGGAACATGCCAGGCTCCGTGTCCAGCCCCTGCCCCGGCGAGGGTTTTGCTGGATCCCCGTGAGCAGCTGCCCTGCAGAGCCCGTGGAAACCATCGCCCTGATAAACAGCAAACAATTTGTGCAGGAGATAACAATCGCTGTCATCTTGGTTAAAACACGTAAACTAGAAAACACCGCCACAGCAAAACCAAAGGGAACCAGCCGGTGTTGGCCAGGCCACAGCTGGGAGTGATTAGAGATAATTAATTCTGCTAAACACACGCACACTGAGCTCAGTGCAGCCCCCTCCACGGGCCTGACCTTGGCACGAGAGCAGTGGGTGCGTGGATCAGGGTTCTTGGGGGGCAGTGGCAGCAATGCCACCCCACAGAAGGGTCTGGGATCCCCACAGAAGGGGTCTGAGCCTGGCACCATCTGTGCTGGAGAACCTGGACTCGCTGCCAAAAGAACAAAGCAAAGCTCAGGTGTCAAATTATGGCCATGCAGGAAAAATAATTCCCTAAATGCTTGAAATATAATCAGAGTGAAATCCCCCTGGTCTGCACCTCCACAGCATTGACTCCTGGGTGAGAAAGTACATTACAAAAGAAGGAGACAGGGATGATATTGCAGCACCACTAACAAAAATGGCAATTTTCTGCAACCAGCTCCACTCCAGCAGCTCTCCCTGGCACAGCAACCACCAGCCCAGCAGCACCACAGGCACCTTGTTTCACTTTGACTTATTTGGCATTAAAACAAATTGGTTTAATCACAGAATCCCAGACTGGTTCAGGCTGGAAAGCTACAACAAACAGGGATGGGGACAGCTCCTGCTCTCTGGGCCACAGTGAACAACTGCCCAGACATGTGGGCACGAGGCAGAAGGCAGCACAAATGGGCTTGGAGATGCAGTAAGAGGCAGAAATTGAAATAATTGTCTATCAAAATGCTCCTTGCCCTCTGCCCTGTCTGTGCCTGTTCCTGAGATTTGTCCTGTCCCTTCTCTGTGCCCCTCTCACTGCACCCCAATTCTGTGGCCCCCAGCTGCCACGGGACCCTCCACATGGGGAAGGGCACTGCTGAACCACCTCCAAGGCACTTATCCTGTCTGATACTGTGGTTAATTATTGCTATTTTTGAACATTTCAGCTTTCTTACCAGTCTTATTACTGCTAATAAAACTGCAGCTTCATCACTATAGGAGCCCCACATCCCTCATTAGTGCAGCAGAGCACGTACACCCCAAAAACACAGAAGTCAGAAACCACCCAAAACAGGCTCTTTCTTTACTTGACCGACTCAGCCCAAGTTCTGGTTTTAGTGTCAGAAATCTCTACAGCAAGACTGTGAGAAATATTTTTTTAGCTCATCTGATAAACATGCAAATCTTGATTATTCATACGTTACTTAAAATAAAAAACCCAGACAGAAACAGATGAGACAAACCCCTCCAAGCAGTGCAGCCCAGCTTGGCAGGGCAGCCAGAGGCCCTTGGCTTTGCCCCTGCTGCCTGTGGTGCCCTGCCCTCAGCAGCAGCAGACCCAGCTGGTCCCACCCGTCTGGAGCATCCCCCTGGGGCAGCCAGGCCCCTCTCTCCAAACATCTGCTGCAGATGTGAAGGTTTCTCTCCATTCTTGTCCTTAATCTGGCTCAGTGGCACTGCAGCCTCAAGCAGCTCTTTTAGAGAGTGATGGACACAAGCCCTGGCCCACGGGCTGACACATGGCTGCCCCATGGGCACTCCTGGATCAGGGCAATGGGCACTGCTCCTTGATCAGGGCACTGGGCACTGCTCCCTGCTCCTGGACCAGGGCAATGGGCACTGCTCCTGGATCAGGGCAATGGGCACTGCTCCCTGCTCCTGGACCAGGGCAATGGGCACTGCTCCTGGACCAGGGAAATGGGCACTGCTCCTGGATCAGGGCACTGGGCACTGCTCCTGGACCAGGGCAATGGGCACTGCTCCCTGCTCCTGGACCAGGGCAATGGGCACTGCTCCTGGATCAGGGCAATGGGCACTGCTCCTCGATCAGGGCACTGGGCACTGCTCCTGGACCAGGGCACTGGGCACTGCTCCTGGATCAGGGCAATGGGCACTGCTCCTGGATCAGGGCAAACCTCCTGGATCAGGGTACTACCCCTGGATCAGGGCACTGCTCCTGGATCAGGGCAATGCTCCTGATCAAAATGCTGTTCCTGGATCAGAATGCTGCTCCTGATCAGAGCAGGAGCTGCAGGAGCAGCCCCACAGGGATGCTGTGAGCCCACACCTGGGGCTGGCTGTGCCTCAGCCTCCACAGCCCAGGATCTCCCCCAGGAATGGCACCAGGGCTGGAGAGCTCAGCAGGCTCTCGCTCCTCAGCTTCCTGCCCTTCTCTGAGATAATTTTTTTCCTATTAAATAACATATGAGCTGTTTCTCTTCTTAAAATAGCACACACCACCACACACACTGCTTGTTTTGTTTGAATTCCTTCCCCACTAAAGCAGCACAAACCCCACTGTAAACCTGACTCCACATCTCTACTCCATCACCAGGTTTTTCCTTTAGATGGAAAACACTGAAGCAATTACAGATCCCCTGCACATCCGAAATCACAGAATCCCAGAATACTTTGGGTGGGAAGGGACCTTAAAGCTCACCCAGTTCCACTCACACCTCCCACTGTCCCAGGGTGCTCCAAGCCTCATCCACCCTGGCCTCAGACACTTCCAGGAATCCAGGGGCAGCCACAGCTTCTCTGGGCAATCCCATCTGGCTGATGGGTGCACCTGGAACCACAGGGCCTTGGCTTCAGGCTGTAAATGCAGAGAAGGTTTGAAACCAACACCTAAACCAGCCATTTGGTTTCTAACAGCCTTGCCAGGGACCCCATGGAGCAGACACATGACCTGGCAACAAGAAAACATCTGGAGTTGTGTTTAAGCCTATTTCAAGTATCATCTGTTATTTTTTCTTTTAAACAGATAACTTGGATTCTTCCAGATCTCCTCCTAAGCAGTTATCCCCTTAAGTCATTCCCCAGCTTTCCCAGTCCTGCCTCAGCCCTGCTGCTCCTGCAGCACTGGTGCAAACAGCAAGGGCAGGTCCAACCCTGCAGCCTTGAGGCTGCCACAAACACCTGATGATGCTTTCACTTCTAAAACACTAATCAAACGTTTCCATGGGAACCTGCAGGAGCAGGAAGAAGATGGGAAATTACAGGTCAGCTCTACCACCGAAAAAAGAAAAATTATCCCATTCCTTCGCCCTCGCAAAGTTTCAAGGTAACACAAAAATATTGATTCATCAGGGTGCATAAAGGCAGCAAATACGCCCCAGAGCAGTCATTTGTTGCGCAAAGAAATCACTTTTAGTCCTTCAATGGCAGGTTTGCTCTGAAACCACGTGAGGAGCTTCACCTCCGCTCTGCCTCCTGGACAGCCAAACCCATTCCAGGCCATCAAAAGCAACACAAGGTTCCCAGGAGTGAATGGGTTCCTGGTGCTGCTGAGGGGCTGGGGCTGGCTGGGCAGCTCCTGCCCCTCATCCCTCCCTCCCTCATCCATCCCTCCTTCATCCCTCCCTCCCTCATCCCTCCCTCCCTCAGCCCCCCTCGCTCTCTCAGCCCTCGGTTCACTCACACACGCGTTTCCAGTTGCCAACCAGAAATGACTCAACACCACACACACACAAGGAAACTTTTCCACCACTATTAACTTTGAGAGGAAATGGAAAAAAGGAGAGAAAAACACATCAGTCATAAACGTACTTTGCCAAATGGTTCATGAGCAAGTGCAGCATCTGCCTGTTTTTCTCCGGGAGCCGATGAACGAGGCTGTGGATCTCCGACACCCTGGACTCCTGATTCTCTAGTTCTGCATGGGGAATAGAAGATGATTTATCTCCACATTAGGGCGTTGTTATGGGAAGAGGCCTAACACACATCCCAGGGAGCTGCTCCATCCCACAGCAGGCACTGCAGATGCTGCAGCGAGCTGAGAGCAGACGCCACGTGAACAGCACGGTGAGCAGGGCAGGGCTGGCTGCAGCCACAGCGATGCCAGGGATGGGAATATGGGCACATTCCCATGGTCAGTGTGCCCAGTGCAGGCCAGGCTGGTGCTCCACAGGCTGCTTGGGTCCATGGTGCTAAGTGGGGGCTGCTGGAGGAGGCCAGCACGTGGCCATGGGACACAGGGCCCTCCTGACATCCCACTCCCATATCCACAGAAAACCCCCTGCTCCCAGCAAAGCCCCTTCCCCTGGGCAGTGAAGGAAACACAGCCCAGATGTGTGGAGCCCCTCAAACACCGTGGTGCAGTACAACAGCAGCCCATGGTCCCAGCTGCAGGAGCTGAGCTCCCTCCTCCCCTGGACACCCCCAACAGCAGCCTGCCCTGCTCCAGCCCTGCTCTGCTGGCCAGGACACAGCCCAGCAGCGTGCTGGGCAGGCAGCAGGGCAGGAGGGATTGCAGCCACTGGCAGTGAGGCTCCTCTGTGGCAGCGGGGCCACAAACACCAACAAACTCACTCGCTGCTTTGATGAAGCTCCTTTGAAACTGGTACATCATCAGGGGCCCTGGGAGCATTCTGGAAGATGAAAAGGAAACAGGCACAAAACACATCTGAGGAACACAATCCACACTGAGAAAGCTTTGCCCCTACAATAAACTCAGCTCCATTTTGAAAAGGGCAGAATTAAGCAACACCAACTCTAATTAATTCCCCTCATCAGAAGGAGTAAGATCTATGCAAGGACCTTTGATTTATCCACCACTAAATTAATCTTTAATTTTAGCATTCCTTCAGTAACACAGCGTCAGTGTGTTACTGAGCCCATGATTTCCAAGTAAGTTTGAAAATAAATTGAGAAGATAAACAAGCCTAGTTATAAAACTTTCCCAATCCCCATTCCCATTGTCCCCTCCCACTGCTGCATCCCTTCAGAGGGACACACTGGTGCTGCCCACATTCCTCTTTGCTTAGCCAACAGTTCAGACTCTGGAGCAAAGGTTGCCAATCATGCAAAATTCTGTGATTTTCTAGGCTGAGATCCACCAGGCTAATTACACTTATCACCCTAATTGGATTTAGGCTCTCTCTTGTGCTCCCTCAAACACAACCCAGCACACAACAGCCTCTGACAGCAAGGAGCTGTGGTCACAACAGGTAGGAGCACGTTGTGGATAATGAGATGCTGCTGGCTGCCAACACCCAATCCTGTTGGGAAAATCCCCAGGATGATACTGGCTCGCCTGACACACAGAAATCAGAACTGCAATAAAGCTCAGCACCAGGTCTGGGAAAGCTCTTCAGCCCCTGCCCTTACACAGCACTGCCCTCCTCCTCTGCCACATGCTCAGAAGGTGGAAGTCCACTGGGAAAAGCTCAGGGAAAAGCTTAAATCAAGGCAGGGGATGCAAGAGTGAGCTTTTAAAATCATGTCTGTATAACATGTGCATCTGTCAGAGCTGAGTGTGTTCTCCAGATCCGACTCAATCATCTTGGAAAGCCAGGGGAAAGCCAGAATAAATTCCCTAAGAGCAGTTTCTGCTCTGTTTCTATACAAGTGCTGTTGTTAAGGGTCTGCAATAACAGGCAGTAAAATCCCAGGCCAGCACCAAACCCCTCCTGAAGCCAGGTGAGGCTTTTCTCCTTACCTCAGGTATGTTTTCAGTGCACTAGTAATGGTCTTGATCTCCCACTCTGCACAGATCTCTGTGTCTGTCTCTGTGGCTGTCTTGGGATCTATGGAAAAAGACAAAAAACCAGTAACTGAAGGAAACTGAAGACAATTCCAGCTCAGCTGTGTGGGGAGACCATCACAGCCCATTTTATTTGCTATTCCCAGCTCTGGGCACGTCTGCAGGGCTGTGGGGCTCATCACCCAGGACAGGCCAAACTCAGTGGCATGGGACAAGAGAAGGAAAAGGGAATCCTCCATCCCGAGCCAGGACAGGGCAGTGTGGCTTGGAGCATGCCAGGACACCGGGCACAGCAGCCCGAGGTGCTCAGTGACAGCAGTGACAGCCAGGCAAGACACAAGGGCCCAGGGACCCTCCTGCCCACAATGGCCAGCATCATCATCCTGCAGCCACCTCCCCACCCAGCCCTTGGCTGGCAACTACAGCCACAGCCACCTGCAGAGCCACCTGCAGAGCCCCCTGCAGAGCCACCACCGGGCCAGTGGAAGTGGGCTCAGGCACACCACTGAGTCACACATGGTGACAGCTCCAAGCTGGGGCCAGGAGCACCAAACCAAGGCCAGGAGCACCAAACCGAGGCCAGGAACACCCAACCAAGGCCAGGAACACCAAACCGAGGCCAGGAACACCAAACCAAGGCCAGGAGCACCAAACCAAGGCCAGGAACACCAAACCAAGGCCAGGAACACCCAACCAAGGCCAGGAACACCCAACCAAGGCCAGGAACACCCAACCAAGGCCAGGAACACCAAACCGAGGCCAGGAGCACCAAACCAAGGCCAGGAACACCAAACCGAGGCCAGGAGCACCAAACCAAGGCCAGGAACACCAAACCGAGGCCAGGAGCACCAAACCGAGGCCAGAAGCAACCAAACCAAGGCCAGGAACACCAAACCAAGGCCAGGAGCACCAAACCAAGGCCAGGAACACCAAACCAAGGCCAGGAGCACCCAGCCAAGGCCAGAGAAAGCCCAGCATGGAAGTGCCCCCTGTGCTGCTCTCTCCTGCCTGGATGCTGCTCCAATTGCTAACGCCATCCTGGAAACTCAGCCAGGATCCTGCTCCCAGCAGAAACCCAGGGAAGCCCCTGTGGGGGTCCCTGGTGTGGGTCCCAGCAGTGCCAAGTGTCCCTGGGTGCCAGGGCTCCCACTGTCCCCAAGGGCCAGGGTGACACAGCCACAGCTGCTAACACCATCTGCTCCCACGGCTCAGCTCAGGGGATTTTTGCCTCTTCACAGCAACAATTAATGCACTTTTGAGTTTTAAAGCCCCATGTAAGCATTGGGCAATTTTTAACCTACTTAAAAGAATGCTGTGAGTAGAGTTCAGCTTTCCCTCAGGGCAAAGGGTTTATTTTAATTTAAAAAAAACATCAAGAGACGCTTGGAAAAGTAAATACATAAGAAATGCATATTCACACAAAGACCATGTGTGTCCCAGCAATCACACAAATGACCTCCATCCTCCTGACTCAATGCCCAGGAAACTTCCTACAGCACTGCCTTTACAAGGAGAGAATTTTAAGATAAGGAGTCAAGATAAGTTTGGCATAGTAAAAAAGAAAAAAACTAACAAAACCTCCCAGGAGTTCCATCTTTTTTTGACAAGAAACTTTTTAACCAAAGTAGAACAAGCAGCTCCAGAGAGTGTGTCTTTGCAAAGGCTCACCCAGCAGTTTCCAGGCAGGATCATGGAACAGGAGGTGAAATTCCACAGTCGGTCCCATGAAAAGGCTCAGAGCAGTTAATCAGCTCCCCTTGACCTTCACATTTATGAGTCTGCAAGAAGCTGCTGCCTTGGCTTGCAGCTGCAGCATCTGTCCCCCCAGGCAGGGTCGTGCCAGCCCTGCCTCCCACAAGGACACACTTCCACAGGAGCTGGGGCCACGTGGAACCAGGGGCTGGAAAAGCACCCACAGCCACAGCACCGACCCTGAGCTGCTTTCTGCTGCCAGTCCCTGATCTGACCTCTCTCACAAATCTCTCCAGGGTGAGGGGAACAACCTGGGGAAGCACCTCACCACCCCAGTGTGGTTATCACGGAAAGACTTCCAAAAGAGCCTCAGGGATGGCACATCCCAGCAGTGAGGGGCTGGAAGGAGCCCCACTCCCAGCCCTTACGGCCCACGTGGCAAAGAGCAGATCAGATGCTGTAACTCACCTTCTGCAGAGCTCAGACCTGCTGGGGCCCCTCAGTGCCACAATAAACCCTCTCATGGGAGCTCCCACTGATGAGAGTTTGGTTATTTGTTGGGTTTTGTTCTCATTTTGATGGCACACGGTACCAGTGAATGCTGGGGAGATGATCACCCACTGCATTACCCCAGTGCAGACCCCGAAAAGATCTGCCCCAAAAGCCAGCCCAGGGGCTGGGGCTGCCCCTGACCCTGCTGTCCACAGGGAGCCAGTGCCCTGGGGCCACCACCTCCTGCAGGACACCCTGCCAAAGCCCTTCCCAGCAGTGCCTCTGACAGCAGCTCGGGGAAACTCGATCTTTTTGCCATTTCAACTGTATGTGAAGCAGTAAGGCTGCCCACATTCATTTCTAAATATAAGGGAAACCTGACAGTGGGAGCACAGTTTGGCTCCTCCATTCACCAGGAGCCCGAGGGCAGCGAGAACAGATGGGGTTTGACAAGGGACACGTTTGGTGGGGCACTGACTTCACACACAGCCCAAACACTGCGGGTGATGGAGATTTAATCCCCCCGCTATTTGGAGAAATTACGGAGTCACGGGTTTGCAAAGCACCCCAAGGATGGACAGCATGGGGGATTCCCAAAAGGGGTCCCACTGCAGCCCTGCCCTGCCTCCTGCAGGGCTTCCAGCACCACCAACCAAGGAGGACACACCAGGACAAAGGAAAAGCACCAGCCATTTATCACCTCCTTATGAGACACAGGGCGACAGCTGAGTGGCTTCAGTGGCTGAGGAGATAATGGATGCTGGATGCTGTCCAAGACTGAATCCCTCCCAGCTCCACAGAGCTCTTCACCCAGGCCAGTTCTGCCATCTGTCACAGCCTGGGGACTGACACCAGCACTGACACCTCTGTCACAGGAGAACAGGGTGCATGGCCCTGCCACCTGTGGGATGTGGTGACGAGATCACCCGAGGGCCTGGCCGTGGAGCTGCCAGGACCTGCCCCAGGGCACCAAGGCACTCTGTTTCTATCAGCAGTGCTGTCCCCGTGCCCACCGTGTGTGCCACAGGACAGCGCTGGCTCCCCACAGCCCTGGGACCTCAGGGCACCTTCACATCCCCAGCCTGTGCCAAACTCCTCCAACAACAGCACCAGTCACCAGTCCTGTGCAGAGAACTCTCCAAATGCCACAGCAAAGAGGTCCCCTGCACCCGGATTTGGAGCTGTGCCCTTCTGCTCCAGTCACCTGGATTACCTGTTTTCCACAGGTTAACACTGACAGCTCTAACAGCCACCGTGGGCCTTGCTCACTGAACACCTTCATGCTGGGAAAAGAAGGAGGAATTGGAATAGGAGAAGGAAAAGATGTTGAAACACAACAGATGAAAACCTTTTGTAAGAAGAAATACGCAGAGAAAAGAGCACTGGGGTTTTGTGAGGACAAGGAAAAGAAATCATGTAGAAAAGGAAAGATAGTAAGTGAAGGGAAAGAAGATGACCAGAAATGCCACGCATTTTCCCCAAGGAGTAACAAACACATTCAACGGGGCACTAACAAATTAGCAATCATTTGTTTCCCTATTCCTACAGCTATTTCATCTGTGGTTTTGCCAAGTCTGAGCAGCATCACACAGGACTGGCCAAGGGCAGCTGCCCTGCTCCAGCCCAGCTCTGTTCTCTCTTCCACTGTTGTGTCTCAGGCATGTCTGGACAGATGGACAGACTGGTCCAGGGCTGCAGCTGTGGGATGGAAATGCTGCCTGTGAGGTCAGGGCTGAAATGGTTCTGTCCCCCCAGCCAGAGCAAACCTCTGCTGTGCCAAGACCCAGCAGCTTGGAGCATCCAGAACTGCAGGATCCAATGCCTCAGTCACAAGGCAAACGTGCTGGAAAACTCTGGGCAAGACTGAGATAAACAGGCACAGGAAAGTCCGTGGGGAAAGCAAGAACAGCCACAGGCAGCATGCAACATCCAGGAGAAAATCATTTCAAAGGGTGCTGGGAACAAGGGAGCAGGTAGGAGATGAAAAGCCAAAGCTTTCAGCTATTTCTTTGAAGATTTTGGTTTGCATTTGGGAAGGCTGCCAGAACTCAGAGCATGTGTGAGCAGGACAGCAGTGACTGCAGCAGGACCTGGTGAAGGCAGTCCTACCTTCAGACCTGCCCACGGGGCCCAGGACCTCCCAGCCTCGGCCAGCACGTGGTCCTAAGGGCACAGTCACCACCATTAGGGACCCCAGCAAGACCCTCTGCTCCTGCTTGGCAAGGCTTCAAAGCAGCACAGTCTACTTTCCCCCACCAAAACTCCAGAGACTCACCCATCAATACACTGAGCAGCTTCTGAACCCTGGAGTTCACCCCGACGATGCGGTAGAGCCCCTGCTCGTTGATCCCTGAGGAGAACAAGGAACTCGTTAGCAGGAGGCCACAAGAGCTGCTAAGATTTCTTTCACTGCTTTGCCTTCTCAAATAGCAAAGAAAACCTTCTCACCTATCAAATACAAAGCCACAGAAGATGGTAAAATTTGGGGTTGATATCAAGGTTTTCATGTATCCTGTCCTATTTCATTAGAAGTGTTACCCCCAGTTAGCTCAGGAACAAGGATCTAAGGACACCTTTCCTCCTTGCCCACAGCCATGGCAGCCCATGCAGGACCTGCATTTAACCAGGACAATCTGGGAAAATTTTACTGTGTCAAGTTCTTCAGGCTGAGCCTTTTGCATCTGACCTCCCCCTGCGGGGCTGGGACAATCCCACCTGTGCACAAGGAGACTCACAAGAGGTTTTGGGGACAGAATCCCACATGAGAGGACGTGCTTGGCAGCACTCCTGCAGGAAGGATGCTGAAGTGAACACCCCCTTGGGTCCTGTCCCCCCTTTGCACACGCAGGGTGTCAGTGGCTAACCCTGCCCCATGTCTGTGAGTCCCTGCTGGCCCAGCCGTGGGGCAAACGCTTCTCACATCGGCCCCAGCACGTTATGGGCTCATCTGACGTGGGTCTGAGGGCTCATGAATCATTCTGCCCATGAAAAGGGCAGGAAAGCAGCTGCTCCACTGCCAACAGCTGCCCCAGAGCAAGCCCAGCCCCAGGCTGCCCTACCTCTTGTTTCCACAGCGTGGATGCACTTCTTGATGATGCTGAAGCCGATGCTGTCCAGCTGGGCAGCTGCAGGGGAAGGGCAGAGAGCAGGGTGAACAGCTGGCAGGGCAGGCCCTCTCAGGGAGCACCAGGCTCCTCCTGAATCCCTGCCACCCCAGCAATGCACCAGTGCCCAGACCAGCAGGAGATAAATGAGGGTAAAAAACCACAAGTAGAGCAGTTGGTACCAGCTGTAAGCCAGGCAAACACAGACACTGATCATCATTCCAGCCTCCACATCCCTCTGAAGCAGGCCTGCCCTGGGCTCTGCCAGGCATCTACCACTGCAGATGGACAAAATTAATTTAGGATCAAGGTGAGATAACCCAAATTTGTCTGGAAAGCTGACAGTGGGTTGCTTGGAAAGAAATGAAATTGGACATTTTGACACAACAAATCCCTGAAAATGGCACACAAGGTGTCTTGCCTCTGCCCCAGAGTGAGAGCTAAAACATGAGAGTTAATGGGATGTACAGCTCAATTCACCCATGCCAATGCAGGTTTTCACTTCCAGGTTCAAGGAATTACTAATACAGGGACCCCAACACCTGCTGGAAAAATTCACCCCACAGAGAGCTTGCCACCACTGCCTGGAAAACACAGCCCAGAGCCAGATATCTGTTATGGAAAATTAGTTCCTCCCTAGAGAAAGGTTTGGAAAACCTTCCACAGGGCAGGAGCCCCTGAGGGCAGGGTGGGCAAAGCCACCCTGGGCTCCAGGCCCCAGGGAACGCCGTGATGTGGGAGACACAGCTGGTTCAGGGCAGGGCAGGGCAGGCAGGGAGCAGAGCCCAGGCTGGCAGTGCCCTCTGCAAGGCACGTGCAGCTCCCCTCCTTTGCATTCCCCTGCTCCGTGGGCACTGCCAGCTCACAGCCCCTTCCTAATCCCCTGCTTTGAGTCCTCTGCTGGGGGTGGCCTTTGTCTGGTGAATGGCACAAGGACCCACAGCAGTGCAAAGGAAAACAGCTCCATTATGTTTTTCTGGGCAAGCAGGCTGGAGTGCTGAGCCAACACAAGCACACGAGCTGCAGGATGCCTGTGCCACAGGACGTGAGGACAATCCAGAAGCTGCAGGGCCCTTTGCTGGGCACCCTCGGGGCTCCCAGCATGGATTCAGCACAAACCCAAGGTGCCATCAGCAGCAGGGCACAGCTGCCATTCCCAGGCCACTGATAAACACGAGGGTACCTGAGAAGCTCAAAACCATGGTGTGGAAACTCTTTGCTGCAGCAAACCCAGTTCAGCAGGTCTGATCAGCCTTGGCTTGGCACTGGTGTGACCCTGACCTGTGGGCAGCCCTGTGTGGCGCTGATCACTGCTTCAGGCTCTCTGCCAACCCATCCCACAGACCAGCAGTTTTCCCTTAGCCTGTTTGGCATGTTTGGACCCCCCAGGCCAGGTTGGACAGGGCTTGGAGCAACCTGGGACAGTGGAAGATGTCCCTGCCCACAGCAGGGGGTGGAACTGGATCAGCTTTAAGGTCCTTTCCAGCCCAACCCATTCCATGATTCCATGATTCCACAAGCCTGCAGGGCCCACCATCCCACGGCCAGGCAGGCTGGGGTCCCACCTCCCTGCAGCAGGAGGAGGAGACCCAGCAGTGCCTCTGGATGAAGTGACCTGCCATAATCCCCCTAAGCAGATGAACAAGCTCTTCCACTCACTGTCAAGCTCTGCATCAGGAAAGGTTGGGGATTTATTTGCAGTACTTATATCCAGAAACAATATCTGATTAAATTTCCAAAGTGCCTTTATTCATCCTTAAAGTTAAGTCTAATGAGCATTGTAAAAGCTTGATTTCCCCTCTCTCAGAGCATCTGCTCTTCATCTCAGTCATTTACCAAATGATGCAGTTCAGCCATGGTCCAGATCAAAGGCAGATCTGGATCTGCTGCTGTCCAGGTGGCAGATCCATGGAATGATCTGGGTTTGAAAAGCCCCCCCAAGGCCACCAAGTCCAACCATTCCCCCAGCACTGCCAAGGCCACCACTAACCTCTGTCCCCAAGAGCCACATCCACATGGCTGTGAAACCCCTGCAGGAATGGGGACCCCCCTGCCCTGGGAAGATGTGCCAAGGCTGGACAGCCCCTCCAGAGAATAAATTCTCCCTGAGTTCCAATCTGAAGTGTCCCTGCCTGCCTGGCTGAGGCCAAGTGGAAGAGCCTCCCTTGAGGCCCTCCCTGCTCAGGGCAGGGTGTGAGGCTCAGCTCCAGCAGCAGCACCCAGAGCCCAAGAGCTGCATGGCCAGCCTGGGATCCATCCAGGAACATCTCACGTCAGCACAGGTGACACACACCACCTGGACAGCAGCTGCTGCCCACACCCCACACTCATCTGACCTTCAGCAGCATCACATTCCAAGTGCTGCTGAATTACTCTCATCCTGTTCTATTTTTGCCTGGCAGATTATTTCTATTGAATCCATTAATTCCCTCCCTTTACAACACTGATGTGACATATCAGTGTAAAGGGAAGGGGGCAGGGGGCTGAATCAGCCCTGTCAGCCTGCCTGGCTCCAGCTGTGTGGCAGGGCACTGCAAGGTCAAAGCAGCTCCTCTGCCTCCCCAGCACACGTTCCTGTGCCATGCAACCATCTCTGGCTTGAATTCTTCCAAAGGCATTTTGGAAATAAGAACCACAGGGGAGGGGGCAAATCATGAAGCAGAGTCTAGAGGAATGAGCTTTCAAGTCTTACCAGAAATGAGTTTTCAGGGCTCTAACTACCACTGAGCTGCCAAGATTAGGGGTCAGATTAGGTTAGAGAAATGGAAGAAGTTTTTTACAATGAGGGTGGGCAGGCCCTGGCACAGGGTGCCCAGAGCAGCTGGGGCTGCCCCTGGATCCCTGGCAGTGCCCAAGGCCAGGCTGGACAGGGCTGAGAGCACCTGGGACAGAGGAAGGTGTCCCTGCCACAGCAGGGAGGGGAAGAGAGGAGCTTTAAAGCCCTTCCAACCCAAAATATTCTGTGATTCCATGATTGTGATTGCTGGGAAGGGCCAGAGCACCCAGACAAGGGCACAGCAGACAGGGCAGCCAAAGGGACTCAAGAGTGGATGTGGAAGATGGAGAGTGAAATGGTGGGAAGGAAGGGAAAGGAGGAATTTTGTGCTGTTCCATGCAATAAGCACAAATGGCCTGGAGGATTTGTTTCCATGGAGCAGGGCAAGTCCTTCTGGTTAGCAAACTAGAGCATCTAAATTCCCCTGGCTCTCATGGTTCAGTGACACCACTCAGCCCCTCTGCTCGGCCTCCTCCCCCTGCACAGCACACCAAGACAAATCACCCACAGGCCCACGGCCATCTGGCCACACAGCAGGACACAAAACCCAGTAGCTCTGCAAAATTACAGCGTCCTGAAAGCGCCACCACAGCACGGGGAGGCACTCCCAGCCTCCCAGAAGTGCAGGCAGGACGCAGAGGCAGAGAGAGCCCCAGGGTCAGGAACTGCATCCGGACCCCCTCCATCACCACACCCGCTGCAGGTCCTTATAGGAAGATCCTGGATCAAGGGCTGCTGGCAGCCAGCCAGCTGCTGAATCGATTTTAGAGAGCCTGGGGAGGCAGGCAGAGCTCTGAAGCAGGGATTTAATGAGGCTGAAGCAGCCAGCCCTCTGCCCACACCAGCAGCAGCCCCAGCCCAAGCAGAGGGTTCAGAAGCACGCTCAGGGGTCCCAGCCTGCTCCCAGAACCAGGAAGGACAGACAGGGACAGACAGGGAGGATCATTCTCCTTAGGAGAGACCATCAAAATGGTCTCCTGAGCCAAACCAGCAGGTACAGAGCTGGCAGGGCTGTGTGCAGGGATATGGAGCACTGACAGCTCATGGCTGGGCAGCACGGAGCTGAGCCACGCCTGGGCTCTGCACCCCACAAACTCCTTTTGCCCTCTGGGAAAAAGAGACCAGAGGAGCTGCTCTAGCAGGGCTCCTACCCCAGGGGCACTGGCCATGCTGCCCTTCCCAGCTCAGCACAGCACTGAGCTCTGCTGGGATCAGCTGGGAGCCAGAGCCAGGTGATGCACGCAGGAAAAGATGGATGTGCAGCCACTGCCAGAGAGGATCAAAGGGAAGGAGAAACCACAGAGGGGGAAGAGACTGCTTTGTGCAGGGGCTGAAATGGGTGTGAGGAACATTAGCTGCAAATTATACCAATTACTGAGAGAAAAATGCTCGGGCTGCAGATGAAAATGTCGTGTCTGAGGCAGCACCAAAATGAACCAAGCACTGAGCACCAAGCCAGGCCTGGCCCTGCCTGACCCTGGCTCTGAGGGAAGGAGGGAAGGGACTGGGGCTGGACTATTGCAATTATGGCAAATCCAACCTGCTGGGAAATGGCTCAATTAGGGGTTTTAAAACACAGGACATAAGAGGCAGAACCAGGTGCAACTGCTCCTCTAGGAAAAAAAACAAGTGCTTTCTTGACCCAGGGCTTTGATTGCCTGAACTACAATAAAAAGATTTTTTTTAAGGGCTCTTGTTGACAATCTTCACAAGGCAGGACCTCCTCACTCCTATATTTCTATTCCAATTCCCCTTTGGAAAGACACAGTCACCCTGCACATTCTGGCTCAGAGAGAAGAGCTGCTTGGTCCCAGGTGCCACCTGATCCCTCTGCTGAACTGCAGGAGCAGGTCCTGAGGCCACCAGACCCCTGCAGTGCCACTGGGGTGGGGACACGGTGTGGGACAGGAGGGGACACACCCTGAGGGATGCAGGGACTGCCTGGCACTGCCCTCCACAGCCCCAGGTCCCACCAGCAGGTTTCTGCCCCCAGTCCCTGCTGGGTGCCACACTCAGCTCTCCCTGGGCCACCCTGGGGTCCCCACACTGAGCCTGTCACCCCCCAGCCCCGGGGAGCCCAGCACAGCCCAGCATCTCCTGCTGACCCTTCCCACAGCTCAGCCACCTCTCAGGGGTCAGGCTTGAGAAGAAATACTCACTGCCTTCGCTCTGGCTGTCCTTGTTCGAGTTGTACACCTGGAAAACACAAGCAGAAAGCCTTATGAAACCCTGGCTCCAGCTGGGACTGCTGGCACAGCTGGTGCCACCACAGTGTGTCTGCTGCCAGGACCTCCCCCAGCAGCCAGGTCCCCAAACACCACCATGACCTCCTGCACACAAATGTTGGGCTGGCCCAGCTCTGCAGTTATGTTTAAATACTGACTAGGACAGCTCTTAAAATGAACGAATGGGATGGACCAGGTGAAAACAGAAATTAGAGGATTCTAAACAAAGTGGAGGTGGGGTTGGACTAGATGACTTTTAAAGGTCCCTTCCAACTCAAACTGTTCCATGATTCTGACTCCTCTCCTGAAAGACACATCCAGAGGGTATAAATTAGAGCAAAGCAGCCAATTCCCTTCTGGGCATTACAGGAACTCTGGTAGGTGCAGCTGGGGCAGGGAGCAGGTACAGCCTGAGCAAACGAGTCAGGCAAAGAGGAGGACAGGAAAAGAAATGTCATTACTTTAGAGAGCACAAGAATGCAGCAGGATGAGGCACTGAATGCATCCAGCACTGCTCACAGCAGAGCCACCTCCAGGACTCCATCCCAGGCCTCTCCAGCCTTCTAACATCCACCCTCCTCCTCCTCCCACCCCAATCACCACCCCACCACAGCTTGGCTGCTGCAGAGTAAAGTGGCATTTCAGTGGATACAATAAAAAGGGAAAACACTGGCAGAAGGCTTTAATCACGATGTGAGGGCACTTTAAAAGCCCAGGATAATACCAACAGCAGCTGTAAGAAGATCAGCCCTCAGACACGTTGAGCACTGAAGGATTATTCTAAACCATTTTAACCTCTTGAGCTGGAGAAGTACAGAGTGCCACCAGGAACACACAGACACATCCCAGCAGCATCCTGGCTGTGATAAGGGGGCACTGTCCACTGAGCAGGACACAAGGCTGGTGAAGCTGTGGGGAACAGGGCTGGGAGCCCTGGCAAGGGGAGCTGCCTGCATCACATGCTGCCTCCCGAAATAGCCAGCGGGCAGGGCGAGCTTCCAAAGGCCATGTTGATAGCAACACCCCCAGCAACGGGGGAGAGGCTGCAGGCAGGGCTCTGCTGCAGGCACCCCAGCCCCTGGCAGCAGCAGGGAGCCCGGGGTGCTCTGGGCTCTCCCAGGAGCTCCAGCTGCAGGGCGAGGCTGGGAAGCTGCCTGGGATGCTCTCAGAGGATCAGAGCCAGGCACAGCAGAGCTCACCGTGCTGCCCCAACAGCCACCACCAGCAAAAACACCCAGCAAGGCTGTGTGTCACAGGGCATGCCACCAGCAGGGCACATAAACACATCCCTTCCCTGGAGGTCACCCAAACACAGGCCATTGCTGAGCTGGGCACCAGCCGGAGCACGGCAGGACACCTTGGATCAGCTCCACCACCCAGCACGTGCTCAGGGGAGCACAGATGCAATGGAGCAGCTCAAAACCGGGCTGTGGGCAGGGACTGAGGAGCACCTTCCCTCTCCCCCTCCCAGGACACCTGGCTACGTAGCACGAGACCAAGCAGAGATGATTGTTTGCAGAGAAAACCCATCAGGCACATCTGGCAGGCGGGGGATGATTCAGCAGCAAAACCAGCTGCAGTCAGCAAGTGAGTTTTCCTCTAGGAACAATGTTTATATCAAGAAAATTAAATAAGTAGAAAGAGGGAAGGAAAACACCCGCAGGCTCCCCTGACAGCAGTGCCCCACCACAGTCAGCCTTCCCTAAGGAAGTTCCCCTCCAAATTCAGTGCCTCTGTTGAGGGCTCACTGCAGGGACTGGGGGCTCAGCTGTTACTTGAGAGACACACAGCCCTTTCTTGGGATCACACACAGATTTCGTGCCCTGGCTCACCCCCATGCACAGGTAACACTAAACACAGCACAGGATCAGGCTTGGAGCACCCTGGGATAGTGGGAGGTGTCCCTGCCCATGGCAGGGGTGGAATAGGATGAGTTTTAAGGTCTTTCCAACCTAAACCATTCCAACTCCTAGCACAGCAGCTCCAGAGACATCCTCTGCCTGCACATTTGCTCTTCCAGTCTGGATCCATGAAACAACAGAGCTTGTTATCACCAGAGACTGCTCTTAAAACAAGGGAAAAGGGCAGACAAGGAAACACAATATGCCTTTGCCATTAATTGCAAAGTGTGCACACAGCAAGAGGGAAGTTTCACAAAAAGGTCAACAGCAACCATAAAACACAGAGACACTGCCACCCTACACCCATGTCATCAAGGACAAACCTTTTATCCATTGTCTCTGTTAATCCACTAACACAACTCCACACCAGCAGGGTTTCAGCCAAGCCCCAAGTCTGCAATATCCCTTCCTTTTCCAAGAAACACTTCTCCTGTTCTGCCTCAATTCTTTTAGAGGGAGATTTCTCTGGGTAAGAGAAGGTTTCCAAGTTTGAGGAAAGGGCTGCTGTGTAAGAGGTCCAGGAGTGAGGCTCCTGCAGTGGCCCAAGGGTCACCCCTGCTCTGCTGGCAACCCCTTGGGCTCGTGCCTTGGCAAAGGCTGCTCCTGCCCAGCCTGGCCCCAGGGATGATATATTGATGTTCCATCCTTCCAGAACAGCTCTGGTAACAGGCAGGGCTTAAAGCAGAAGATGCATTTGAAGATTAAGCCTCGTACACATGAGTCAGTCCATGGACCAACCTCCCCCTGGGAAAGGGGGCAGAATTTTACAGAGGTTCTTGCTATTCCCCACACCACACACATGGCACCGAGCCCAGGGCTGTCCCAGGAGAGATGGGCTGGGAGCACCTTGGAAAAGCTCTTCTGAACCCTCTTCCACACAACTGCCAAGTGCTGGATTTCATTTCCCCCATCCTCACCCTCTCTCTCAGCTGTATTTGCACCACTGCCATGCCCAGGCTGGCTGGGGCTGCCTCACAGCACAGCCCTGGGCCAGGGGACACCAAGGGACAGCACAGTGCCACCTCCCAGGGTGACAGCAGCCAGCACACAGCCCGTGGGAGCTGTGCCCAGGACAGGGCAGGCAGGAGCTCTGCAGACACACACATCCCCCAGACAATAAAACACCATTAAATGAGGGTATTTTGATGCCCACACGCTGTTTTTCCTGTTGTTAACACGCTCTGGAGAAAACAGCCCTAAACCCTGAGAGCTTCTCGTGAAATAAAAAAGCTTCTTTCACTTTCCAGTATTAGTCACTGACAAAGGGTGGGAAATCAGAGGGAAGAAACGTTGCTGGAGGTGAAGGGCCTGTGGCCCATGGACACGTGTGGGAACAGGCTGGGTTATAAAACTCCCAAAATTGGGATAGTGACTAACGTGGAGACAAATCCCTGCCCTGCAGCACTGCCATGCTTTTACATCTCGCTCTCACTAATTATTCCCATTTGATTGTATTTCCAGAGCCAAAATATCCTCCCAGGCAGTTTCAGAAGTGATGTGTATAGAAAAAATATACACTGAGACAGTACAAAACTTACAGACCTTGATGTCTTGTATTTAGTTTTCTAAACTCCTACTGTAGATGGTAAAATATCTTGAACAAAACCAGATTGTATAATTTTTTTTAGCAGAAGCTACTGCTGCTTCATTCCTGCAGGATAATTGCTGCCTGGAAGCTTAAAGAAGGCCTTTACAAGCTATTATTGAAAAATTCCAAGATGCATCTGTAAGTAATCCAGAAAGATAAATTTTATGAGAGCAGTTACAACTCATGACTACTTTGACACTTGCACTATGCTCAATTATGAACTTGATATTTAAGATAATTCATCAAAGAACCAGTTATTTCCTTTGCTGAGACATTTCACCAAATACATGCTTTGTTTTGCAGAGGAAATGGTTTTATAGGGATGATTAAGAGCTCTGAGATGTTCGAGGGTGTGGTGGAGGAGCACACAGCCCAGGAGGCAGCTCCCTGCTCCCCTGGAGCCCAGGGATGAGCTGGGGGTCACTCACCCACACCCAGGGTTGTGATCCAGGAGTGTTGGCTCCTGGATCCACGTCCCCAGCTGCTCATGGACCAAAGCCTGGGCAGAAGCAGCAATGCAGCTGCTGCACCTGCTCCTGCCCCCTCTAAATTCAGTCCTGCCACTGCCACGCACCCCACACTGGAGCTGTGGACCGTGCAAACGTCAGCTATGGATTTTCCTCATCAGAAATCCTTTGAAAGACACCATCTGGAGCCTCAAATACTCCTACAGCCACTGACAGCCACCATCTGGAGCCTAAACCACCTCCACAAGCACTGATGGCCATCGCTGAGAGCCTAAAATACTCCTACAGCCACCAAGAGCCACCATGCAGAGCCTGAAACACCCCTCAGACACCATCCAGAGTCTTAAACACCCTTCAGACACCATCCAGAGCCTGAAACACCTCTACAGCCACCAAGAGCCACCATCCAGAGCCTAAAACATCCCTCAGACACCATCCAGAGCCTGAAACATCCCTCAAACACCATCCAGAGCCTTAAACATCCCTCAAACACCATTCAGAGCCTGAAACACCCCTCAGACACCATGCAGAGCCTGAAACACCCTTCAGACACCATCCAGAGCCTGAAACACCCCTCAGACACCATCCAGAGCCTGAAACATCCTTCAGACACCATCCAGAGCCTGAAACACCTCTACAGCCACCAAGAGCCACCATCCAGAGCCTAAAACATCCCTCAGACACCATCCAGAGCCTGAAACATCCCTCAAACACCATCCAGAGCCTTAAACATCCCTCAAACACCATTCAGAGCCTGAAACACCCTTCAGACACCACCAAGAGCCTAAAATAGTCCTACAGCCACTCTTCACCATCTGATGCCCTTTCTGCTTGTGCACAGATAAATCAGGAAGAGTTTAACCCGTCAGTTTTCCAACCTGACCCTAAACAAACTGCACACGTGATGTGCAGAGAGCAAACACCCGTGAGTGGTTTGGGATGACACTGGGCTGTGGGAAAAGAAAAGGAAGTAGCTGGGGGTTGGAAGGGGAACTCCAAAAAGATGATGTTGAGT